TATTCTTTTTTAATTTGGCGGGCAACCCGTCTAGCCCGCGGTCATGGCGGGGTGGGCAGAGCTGGCCATTTAGAGCCCGCTCCATCCCGCCAAATGGCAGATTTTGGAGGGTTGCGGGTCGGTTTGTCCTGCCATTCCATTTTGACGTGTCTAACGAGTACAAATGCATCATGATCTACACAAAGCAGACTAGTTTTTCTCAATTTATTTATTTATTTTGTAATGCTCGACTACTATCAGGAGCGGATCTACATGGACATTGGGGGAGGCCATTGTTCCCCCAAAATTTTTCTAATAATCCTATTGAACTTATTTTTTTGCTCTAAATAAAATGAAAAAACAAAAAGTTATGTAATCCACTTCACTTGTTAGTTTAAGTTTAGCTATAATTCTTGTAAGTTCTCTATACACAATCTTTTATATTATTTAGCTTTTTATTTATATTTACATTCTATGATACATGAGAAGTAATTTGATAAACAAAAACACTCTAAATATGTATCTTTGTAGTAGAAAAATTATAATATTAATTAAGAGAATGAGAGCCTAATTTTTCCCGTTTTATGTTATTTTTTAAAGTTTATCGATTCAATATCTATAGCGTTCAAGACTTAAGAAAACTATTATCGTAGTTTATAACGTGTGCATCTTTTGTTCCTATTAAACGTATGTCATTATTGAAAGTAATATTGCCACCATCAATATATTTTTCTAGATCAGTCCCTGACTACTATAAGGCGGAGCCAGCCTCATCATTCACCAGGGTCAGCAATATTTTTTAGTGGGGTCATTAACCTAGTAAACAGTGTTTGAACAGTATTTTATACTAAAAATTTTGAAATCTATAGAGGTCAGCTGACCCCAGCGGCAAGGTGCAGCTTCGCCCCTGCTATAAATACACAATTGTCTTCTACAACAACAACAACGACAAAAAAAAAAATAAAAAAAAATAATAATAATAATAATAATAATAATAATAATGGATTTCATACAAAAGCCAGAATTGGCCTTGCTTACGCGTGAAAGCCCAACAAACAAAATGAGTGAACTATATTTTGAAGTGATATCATTCTCGGAAACTCCCATAGGCAACAAGGCGAAGAAAGCTTCATACATAAATAAAACACGCTTTTGCTGAGACATATACACAAAGAGAATTTTCCTTGTGCCTACGATGACCGACTTAATCAATCTCCTTAACCCACACGTAAAACAACAAACCATCAATTAAACCTATATATATAAACCAAAGAATGTGCCCTTCCAATCTCAATTCATTCTTCTTCATTCATCCTTCATACCAATTTTCCAAACACTTGCACTCACCAACAAGCCATGAACATTTCCGGCAAACACAACCAAGCTCCGGGTAAGTTTTGACCATACAGTAACCAATGTGTTTATACCACAATAACATATTGACTTCCTAAATTTTTCCGAACGATGATTAGTATCGCCTAAAACTCTTATGATTTGCCTCGATGCAGGTGCATATCCGACACCCCCAACATCCTATCCTCCTCCCCCAGCTCAAAGCTATAATGGTCCGTACGTGATGCCACCACCACCTATCGGTTATCCCACAAAGGAGAACACTCAACTACACAACGTGCCACTCGAGACCACTAGTAAAGGGGACAGTTTTTTCAAAGGATGGTAATATCTCAAACCCCTACAATACTATTTTACACATGCATCATAAACATTTGATCTAATTTTTACCATGTTACAGTCTGGCAGGTCTATGTTGCTGTTGCTGTCTCGACATATGTTTCTAATAAGAGAACAAATATGATGACCCTTTACACTTCTGTACAACCCAACCCATAGATTGATTGGTCATGGGCGTAGCTTATATATGTGTACATGAGGATGTCGATTCATTTGTTATTTCGGTTATGTTTTAATTCATTAGGTTATCTTCACAGGAGCTTTTCTGTAGTGTTTATTAATACATGATTACTATTATTTCCCTATCATGTATCTCACATTTAAATAATTTTTTTTCTTTCTTGTTAGTCATGCATATTTCGTTTTCTGAATGGTCATATACAACGGAAGAGTAAATCTGTGCAAATACGTAAATCCAAATATCTGCAAACTACTATATCATCAAGATGACAAATCACATTAGCAACCACACAGGCCACAGGTTACCTTAGTTTTTAGTAGAATGGGCTTTAGACAATGAAGAAAACAATGGTACCCATTCAAGTAAGGTCGATCAACACAACTGAACTTAAGTTATGAATTGGCAGAAGAATATTTTTGTACAATAGGACACAGAGGCATGCCACAAAAGTGAAAATTTTCCATTTAAAGGAAAGGAGTAATGAAAGAAGTCACTAGTAAATACCTCACGACTGGGAAGTTCGAATGCCAATGCCATCTGAAATGGCATTTGAATGTAATATGAACTATAACCGATTAACATGTAAGAGACTGAACCTTAGGATAGTCATTTTTTTTGCTAACTAAGGAAACATGTATAACTACACAGAAATTTTATGAGGCCAGCAGATATGGCTCCCTTATGGAGTCATCCATAACTTAATAGACTTCCAAAGTCTATTTATTGTAGGAAACTTGTCAATATACCATTTGTGAATAATTGTGGATGATACTATAAGACGATGGGTCATCTGATGACTCCATAGCAAAACCATATAACTACATTATTACATTGCGAACAGTACCCCTAATAACGGGATGAACGAATTCCATACAAGCTTTCAAATTTTCCGTCATTCACTTGAAAGGGTAAAAGTATGATCTAACACATAACAAGGACATATTCCAACATGCTACCAAGGATACTTCCAGGCGGCGCAAGTGTAAATGTATTGGAACGAAAGTAGATGGAACAAACATTCGTTCAAACTCATTTAACAAACAAAATAGATTTGAAACCATTCTTAGATATCAGAAGTTTAATATCGCACAAGAAACCATAAAGAGATTCTATATCACTTCATTGAGCATATGCAGCTACAACTACTAAATCATCAAATTCCCAATATGAAACCAACTTAAAAAAAAAAAAATATCTAAAAAAATAATAGGAACTAACTAGAACCACCACGAGTCCACGAGTGAATCTAAAATACGCCCGGATTGAATTAAAGCTTTTCTACTCAGTTGTTTTTATTTTCGACAAACGAGAACTATCCAAAACTACAGAAACTCTTGGAACATGTAAAACGACTCGCATATGTTAAATTAGTTACCATCCTATTTGAGTTCTTCCACATTCTTTTCCTTTCTTCTTGCATAAATAACAAGTATGCTATCAAATTGCATAACTTGACTTACAGAAACTTTTACACTAAATAAAATGACTCGGCATATTGAATGCTAACAATAGGTACATATAATTCATGACCAAACTCCACAAGAGTAAACAAAATAGAACATCAATCATTAGAATAAGCAAAAGGCGTTCAAGAACAAAACTACTCATGATCAAGAAGTTCAAATGCAGACTAACAACAAGAAACGTGTAAAAATGTAGGAAGCATTCCATAACAAAATCACACCTGTTCATTCGAATATCATCAGAAAACACATAAACAACTCCAATCAAAAAAGCCAACAATGGAACAGAAGTCAAAACACAAACTTAACCTCCATAGTTTCTTACACTTAGAATCTCAGCTTCGAGAAAAACCAACGGTTCTTGCCGGTCTTGAACCTCTCCTCGAACCTCGCCTTGATCTCCTTGCAGGCGGTAACTTTCTTATCGCGTGAGACCAGAGCGTCTGCGGTGACGATGTCCTTGAGATCCACGTCCAGGGTGTAGCGCGTGGGCATGATGTGGTTGTAGTTGACCACCTTGACGAAGGCCTTCACGCGCGACTTCTTGGCCTGCTTCTTAGCGGAGTCCTTGC